CGTCAGAGGATAGAGGCAGGGCAGGTGTGTATAGGTAGTGGTTAGAGAGGGAATGAGGAGGGGTAGCTCACATGATCAGAGTGGGGCCACTGGAGGAGTGGGCACAGGGGGGAGAGAAGGGCTGGTGGAGGGGGGCAGGTCTCAGGAAGGCTGAAGGCAGTGAGAAGGGCAGGAGTCAGGACAGCGGGGAGGGTGAGGGGTTGGGCGGCAGCAGGCACCAGGGGAGATGACGGAGCAAGGGGAGGAGACATGGCAGCAGAGGGAAAAGGGAGAGATTTATAAGATATCACCCAAGTTATTAATAAATATTTATTAATAAGTTATTAGTAATTACTGTTCTTATTCTTATTCGTAATTTATGCTATTAAAAAACCACTGTTTTGGGGGGAGGGTGGCGAGTCCCTTTTTTGTCTGGCGAGTAGGGTTTTCCAGAACTTGTCGAGCCCTGTCTGTTAGTGTCTGTGCAGTCTGGACAGAACTCAGTATGAACTGTGCTTGGATATCATAGTAATGTGTGCCTTAGAGTTTGACAGTTTGTTAACCTTACGTAGTGTTGGGCCAGATGCTTGGTTCCAGCTTCTGCTCAGCCTCTGGACTGCAGTCCTTGTTTTGTAAGAGTTGCAAGAGGCACCCCAATGTTTTGGTTGCTGTTGTGACCTTTTTTGCTGTCCCACCAGTCTCTGACATACACATTAAATTGGTACTGGCATAGTGGAGACCAGAATTTGAGTCCCAGAACAAGGGAGTGAGCTGTGCTTAAGTTCAGAAACCGGTTGATCAGCAAATCTTGGTTTAGAAAACATAGTGTCTTGTGCTTGAGCTTATCAGCTTGCAACAGGCGCTGTCTTGCATCCACACTCCAATTTTGGCTGCTGATCCCCAACCACTGTCACTTTCTCTGCAGCCTATACAGATGATCTGGGTGCAGTGGGTGGAGCTTGCCTGGAAGATGAAACCAATGCACTGCGATTGGACGAAGACAGTGAGCATCCCCCTATGATTCTGCGGACTGACTGAACTTTTGACCTGTGAACTCACTCCGAAAGCAGAGAATACTGGGCTGATGTTTCTTGAGGAATCTCTCGTGTTACGCTGCTATGAACTTTGGCATGAGTTGGGAGAGAGGATGAGACTCCAGAAACAATTTTAAACATTGTAACTGTATTCCTAATTCTATACCATTGGGGAAAATACATGGTTTTCAGTTCAGTGGCTTTTAATCTTGCTTATCTATTTTAGCTGTGTGTGGTTTTTCGCTTTTTTGTTTTTTGGGAGGGCAGGGGGTTGGGATTTTTTTGTTGTTGTTGTTGCCAAAACCTGCTGTTTGTGCAGCCCTTGGAACCTGCTAGCTTTGCATGCATTCATGTGCCAAGCGAGCATAGGAGAGAGAAGCCACTTTATAACAAACTCAAGTTTGTATTTTTTTATATATGTATATAATACTTAGCCTATATAAGGAAGGAGTAGAAAAGAGAGGTTCTGGATGCTGAGGCTGGTTCTGCACTGACAAAGGTCCAAATGGCTTCCTGTGCATTGCCTCATGACTGACATGCAGCCTTTAAGATGCAATGTCCTGTTTTTGGGTTCCTCCTCCCCTTTCCTGAACCATTTGGTTAATTAAAATTCCTTCTGAATGTTGCCTGTTTGTGGGAGTGTTCTATTTCTTGAGATGGAAGGCCTGTTTCTGGGCTGAAATTTTTCTGTCCCCAAGAATGTGTAATATATCCTGTGCATTGCCTCATGACTGACATGCAGCCTTTAAGATGCAATGTCCTGTTTTTGGGTTCCTCCTCCCCTTTCCTGAACCATTTGGTTAATTAAAATTCCTTCTGAATGTTGCCTGTTTGTGGGAGTGTTCTATTTCTTGAGATGGAAGGCCTGTTTCTGGGCTGAAATTTTTCTGTCCCCAAGAATGTGTAATATAGAAAGTAGGGGTAGGGTTTTTTTTGTTTTTTTTTTTTAATGGGCGTGTGTTCATCTGTCCTTGTTATTTGGATTGTCTTCAAGCCAAGTTAGCCAATATGCTGAGTAGAAGAGGTGTTTCAGGCTAATAACTTGGAAAGTACTTTCTTCCTTCCTCCCCCTGCTAAATCAGTTATGTCCCTGTCAGAGCAGCAATAATATTTTATTTTCTACCTGCTTTAATCCCTCAGAGCTAAGCCAGTATCCTTCCTGCCAAGGACTAGATGGAGATCGCTTCAGGGTCTGCCGGCCCACCTCCTTAAATGGCCTTAAGGTTTTGCATTGGGAAGATACAACAGTCCCTTCTCCTTTTCATGCCTCCATCCAGCTAGGCTCTGAGCGTGTTGCCTCAGCCGTGCCGGTTCAGAAATTACAGAATGCGGCTGTAAATACAAACGACTATCCACTCGAGTTCCAGCTTCTGAGAGTTATTAATCTTCTCTCAAGAGTTCATTGGATAGTGAAACTGCATTGAGTGTTGCCTCCATTTCCATCCGCTTGAGGAGCACTTCTGATGCTCTTAAAGGGTTAGTTTTCCCCTTGGCAGCTCTGGAATGAATTCTCTTGTGCTGCTGTGACCCTGGCAAGGAGTGATCAAGGGTAGGCAACGCCGCCCTCTATTTATGACGTGCCTTTTGCTGAATCTTGGATGTATTAGGTGAGCAAAATGTCTAGCACAGCCTTTGGGCGTAAGTGTTGCTTTCCTTGGACTGTAAGCCTCCTTTACCTTTCAGGTAATGAAACTGATTGCCCAGCTCTCTCTGGCACCTCTTGAAAACAACCAAAAAACCCCGAACAGGTTGGAACAAAAGGGAGAACAGAACCAGGACTTCCTTGAGCACTTTCACAAATTGAACTTTCCTGCCAATCACACACAACTATGATGCTGCTTAGATTCGGGATTTGCTTCTTTTATGCATGCTGTTGAATAGGGCCCAACAGTGGCAATTTGTCCCTGGAGCTCAGCGCAGGTAGCTGGGCTTCTTTTTCCTCTAAGCGAGCTGAGGATGGTGGGAGGCTATGCCTACAAACTTGCCTGTAATCTTGTCTTTATAAAATGAACCACTGTTAGTCAAATCCCTTTCCTAGAAGAGCATCTTCACCATTCTCTCCCTAATCCCAGTTCTTTTGCACATAGTGGGGAATCATCTGATTTTCTTCTACCCACTTTCTGAGCCCTCTGTAGTTCTGGATATGTTGACTGGATCAACTAGTTTGGACCTCTTCAGTGGTGTCCCCTGAGTGTGTTTTGTTCTAAAACATGTTGTCATCTCATTAAGTCTCTGAACTTCAAGCTCTGTCAGAAAGCAAAGCCCCGTGAATAGAATAGTCAACCATTTGTGGGCTTTGCTGTGGAAGTTGTAACTTTTTAGTGAGGCCTGAAATGCAAGTCTAAGAGCAAACACCAGCTCAGCAGGTTTTGTTGGTGGCCTTTTAGAACTATCAAGAGACTTCGGTTGTGATTCTGGTCGTGCCAGTTTTGAAAACCCATTTTGGAGACATGGCATAAATTCTGTGTTCTATCATAAGAGCTTATAATACAGAGTCATGAGCACCACTGATGTAACACAGGTCTGGCAAAGATGCAGCCTTTACAACTTTTCTCCATTCCAGTGTAAACTAAAGGAATTCCCTGACAATATTGCCCTTTTTTAAAAAGTTAGTACATCGCTCACCAAATGACACGCCTGTCAGCACATCCTTAGTTAAGGTTCCAACACCAACCTTAACTCTACCCCTCTGCTCATTTATCTAAGCTTGAGACCTCACAGATGTCAGCTCTATTTTCCATACATGCCACAGACTACTACCTCCATCCATATTCTATATACAGACAGGAGAATTGCACACCAGAGACTTAAGAGTCACCCTTCTGCTACAGGCTGAAGGTGATCATTTCTAGACCTTCTGTTTAAAACAGAGATTACCTTTACTCAGCCAGCATTCCCCTGTGGACCAGACAGCCCAGCCTACCATGTTCACCATCACTGCTGTATCTGCCTGTCCAATGAGAGTCAAAGAAGCCACTTTCCAGAGATCTGTCTTTATCCAAACCACTCCACACACCACCTGCTCCTCACTATGGGATTGACTGACTTCATCTTGTGTCCCAGTGGGAAGGAGCTGGCTCACATATAGGCTCTGCATGCAACCTCCTTTCTGTCAGGTAAGATGTGACTGCCATCTCTCCCGCCTGGCCCTGTCTCTTAGGTCAGTCACCAGTCACGATGTAAACAATTCAGGGGTTGACACACACTCGTTGCATTTCCAGTTCCATTCCCTGTCCAGCTCTTAAACATTGCGCTAGCAAAAGGGAGAACCCAATCCTTAGTCTCTGGCTGCAAATTTATTTAGGAGCATAGGGCTTAATCCCAGGTATGCAAGGACCTGCTTTACAGTGACA